CACTGGTGCACTTCCAGGAATCGTCGTTCGATCCTCTTGGGGCCCTCCTGGGGCCTTCTGGAGCCGTCTCGGAAGCTCCGAGCGGCTCCATGAAGGCGCCGGGCGATATCACTTCCAATTCCGCCAGGTGGAGTTAGACCATGGGGCTCACTGAGGCCCCTTTTTGCGCCCTCCTCTGCCTTTGAAAAAGCCCCGATGGGGTTCTTCAGTGCCGTCTTAGGGCCCCTAAGAGGCCTCCAGTAGGGTATTGAAGTTATCGCTTCCAACTCCGCCACGCGGAGTTGAACCCATGGCGGCTCTCTATGGCCCTTTTGGGGCCTTCTTAAAGCTTTTCTGAGGCCCTAAGTGGGCCCTGGGAGGTGTCATTTTCACGGGCGTTGAACGTGACACCGCGGAGGGCCCTCTTGGGCCCTTCTTGGGGCCTCTCTTGGGTCCCTCTGGGAGCCCTCTTGGTGCCGCCCTGGGGCCTTCGCGGGGCCTTCTTGGAGCCTTTCTGGTGCTCAAGTGGTCCCTGGGAGGTGTCACTTTCACGTGCGCTGAAAGTGACACATCGAAGGGCCCGCTTTCCCTCGTAGCGCTGCCCGTGGCCGGGGCATTGTGCAGCGCATCCCTCGTCGAACGTATTTTGTCGGACGCGTGGTCGAATTCCGCCAGTTCGGTCGAGATGGTGGTCAAGCGGTTCGGTTGCAATGTAGCCATGCGGATCTGAGCTTACCATTTCTTGCCATTTTGGCGGGGATCGCAGGAGCGTTTGTGTTGTGATCAACTGTGCTCGATATATCCAGCGGCAGCGTTTCATCCCAATATATTATTTTTAAAAAAGTCAGCAGGGGCCAAAATGCTGATGTGAAGCAACATAGGTCTCGTATTCGGGGCGCCCCTACACCGTTTCGCGGCCCCCTAGAGAGCTCCACCGATGGTCCCAAAGGCCGACGCCCGCATGCGGCTCCCCCACCCAGTACAACACTTCGTGGCCCCATCGGGAGCTCCACCGATGTTCTCGGATGCGACGTTCGCATGCGCTTCCCCCACCTAATACGTTGTTTCGTGGCCCGACAAGGGGGCTCCACCGAAGGTTTCAGAGGCTACGCCCTCATTCGTTTCCTCCACCCATTACAGCGTTTCGTGCGTTTCCCCCACCCATGGGGAGCTCCACCGAAGGCCCTAGAGGCGACGCCCGCATGCGTACAGCGTTTCGTGGCCCCCTAGGGAGCCCCACCGAAGGCCCCAAAGGCGACGCCCGCATGCGTTTCTCCTGCCTAGTACAACGCTTCGTGGCCCCACAGGGAGCTCCAAATGGCCTCATAAGGAGCTCCACAGGAAGCGGCACCCACAACGTGGTACTCACAACTGCATCTGGTTGGGTCCGTCGGCTGGATCATGCGGGCCCGTCTGCCTGCCTACCTCGTGATCCCACCCACTTCTTACGACTGGCGGTCCATTTGGGGCTCGTCGCCTCCCGGGGCGTCTCACCGTCAGCAGCACCCTGCCGCGCTGCCTCGGGGCCGCGTGGGGCAGGGAGCAGGGACAGGCACGGGAGCGAAGTCCGAATGGCTCTCGCGCAAGGTCAAGATCACGGACATCACCATCGACAACCATCCCCAGGATGCGGCCTTGTCTCTGCGAGCAGTGCTCGGCGGCGGGCGAGGAAGTGAGAAGGGGCGGGCCTCCTCGGAAGGCTCGGACGTCCCCCGGCCCTCTGAGCAGTTTTCTTAGCCTTCCCCGGAGACGCAGAAAGCCTCGCTGAAGGCGCGAGGATTTCCGAGAAGTCCCGCCCCGCCTTCTGAGAAGGCCTTCTCCCCCTCACGTCCCCCCCTCGCGGGCCGCCGAAATTCTTGCGTGTGTTTTTCGGGTCGGACGGAAGAGGGAATATCGGAATTCGATGCACGGCGGGGTAACCTTCTTGGGGCCCACCCACCGGATCCGATCGACACCGCTTCGACGCACGTGCACCTCGAGCCGGCGGACGCTCGACGCAGCATCGACGCACGAAGAGAGCGAGTGGCTCCAGGATCCCAGGAAGGCCCCGAGAACTGCGGGACTGGGTCGGGGGTGGACAGAACCCCCAACAGCGACACGTCGATTAGTGAATTGTCCGTTTTCGGTTCTCGAGATGGCGCCGCGGCTGTTCTTTTCCAGGCTTGCGCCCGCCAGGTTTGGGCCTCAGGTCGTTTTCACGAAACCACGTTTTACTAAAGGAGGGTCTGTCCATCCCCGACACCAGCGCCCTTCTCGTGGGCGTTTACTGAACAGCCTTGCCCTGTTCGGTTCCTCCTGTAGGTGCGGTTGCCAAACGGCTTCGCGAGTCGGGGTGGTTATTATCGGGATTATCGGGGTGGATGTTCTAGCCTCTATCGTTGAAAGTCTCGGCACGACACCAGCGCCCTTCTCGTGCCAGTTTCGAGCCTCCTGCCCTCGCGCTCTTTGCGCGGAGCGGGGAGCGGGGACGGCATCGGCCGCAGGCAGCCCGTCCCGGCCGGGCGCGCTCCTCGAGATGCACTGGCGCTGCGGCGCCCTCGGCGCCCGGGGGCGCCAAGCGATGGTCAGCGAGCGAAGAACGGTATAACATAAGCTGCCCGCATCTCCCGAGCCGCCACCGCGTCTGTTGGGCAGCCTCCGCCTTTCGAGCTTTGACACAAAACACTGTATATCCTATATGCAGACTGGCCGCCTCCCGAGCGTTGCAGTAGCTGCTAAACTTTTTCGCCGTCGGGGACACTTGCCCCAGGGCGGCTGGAAAGTTTATACCCCTGCGGTGGCCTGGGGCAGGTGTCCCCTGCCCCCGACAGCGAACAAGTTTATGTCATACCGCTCTTCGCCCGTTCAGATGGAGCCTTCGTGAACCCCCCCCTTCTGCTGCGCCCCGTGCTGTCCCGCCCCGATGCTTGCAGCACGGCACGGGCCGGACGCCGGGCATGCGCCGCTCGAGCGCCGCGCGCTGGAGGCAAAAGTCGGGGCTGGCATTGTTCAGGAGGGTAAAAAGACACACAGACACAATTTGTCGTCGACCCCCCAGAAAATATGGGAATAAATGGGAAGTGGTGGGGAAGACAAAAACCCAGAAAATATGGGAAAAGATGGGGAATCTTTTTTATATGTGTGTATTTATTTATGGGTCCCAGGGCCCCTTCAATTGTCTCAGGTGTTTGCCGTGTGACCCCTCCTGAACGGTGCGCGTCGGCGCCGAGCACATCCAGTGGAGCAACCGTTCCTGGGGAGGGGGCCGAGAGGTCCTGAGGCCCCTCGCACGAGTCGAGGCGCCAGCTGTCTCCAGGAGTTGCTGTAGGCGGTGCGCTCTGGGTCGTGCTGATGCGTACTCGCACAGCCAGGCCGTGCGTTTGGCTGTGCGAGTGCGTCGTGTGCGCAGCTGCGAGACCTCATTCGAATCATCAAAATCGCCATAAACATACAGTTTTGGCGTTCCGCGCGGATTTCTTTGATCCTCGCTGGACCCTCCCAGTGGCGCCTCCGGCGCCGCCCCTGGCGCGCTCCGCGCGCCAGAGAGGGGGGTCCAGCGCACATCCAAGAACACCGCGTGGAGCGCCACAAGTTCATGTTTATGATTCGTTTCTTCTTCTAATCACGGGGGTTCAGGGCAGATCCAAGAAACGCGCGCGGAGCGCCACAAGTTGATGTGTATGTTTTGTTTTCGTCTTCTAATCACGGGGGGTCCAGGGCAGATCCAAGAAATTCACGCGGAGCGCCAATACATGTCTGTTCATGGCGTTTCTTCTTCTGATCACGGGGGGTCCAGGGCAGATCCAAGGAATGTGCGCGGATCGCCAGCGCCAAACATCTCGGTTTATGGCGTTTTTTCTTCTTCTATCATGGTCCGCCCTCCTCATCCACGGGGCTTCGTCAGGCCACGTGTCGCCGAACGCGTTCCACCACTCGCAAAGTGCCTCCTCGCAAGCGTCCGAGAAACAAGCGCCTGCCTCGATGCAATGGATCGCGGCCCCCCCTGGGTGGATCCAGGCCCGCTGTGAGCAGTTACTTTGCAAGTTGTGAAGCGCGCTGGCCCAGTGTGGGGGCAGGTCGGACAGTCTGGTGCACGGGATCGGGGGCGCGCCGAGGAGGGAAGCGGGAGGGATCGGGCGCGCCGTCCTGGAGGGCGGCGGGGCGTAGGCAGAGAGCGCGCAGGGCTTCTCAGAAGCAAGCTGGCCTTCCGAGCTTGCTGTGAAGTCGGGCGTGTCCCTCTACAGGAGGAATCTTCAAGACTAGTCAGAATGTAGTCTCAGGACGATCTGTCGTCGACCATTATTTTTTATAGTTTGCTATATACATACGCAGATATTAATATCTGTCTATATAGAAAAAGTGTATGCCAACATCCGCCTATAGGGGGACATGCCCGACCTAAGCCTGCTGAGGAGGTCCGCCCGCTTTGCCTTCCCCCCTGAGCGCGCCGCCGGTTGGAGGTGGAGAGCGACGGCAACGACGACGGAGGGTGGTCGTTTGCTCGTGAACGCGGCTCCCGCCATGAGTCGGGGGTGGACAGAACCCCCAACAGTGACACGTCGATTAGTGAATTGTCCGTTTTCGGTTCTCGAGAGGGCGCCGTGGCCGTTATTTTCCAGGCTTGCGCCCGCCAGGTTTGGGCCTCAGGTCGTTTTCACGAAACCACGTTTTACTAAAGGAGGGTCTGTCCATCCCCGACATTAGCAAAACAAAGGAGCTGTGCGCGAACTGCTTCGTTGCCGTGGACACGGGGACGTCGGAGGAGCGCAGCGGGCCTCTTTTTCGTCGTCTCGCCTTCACGCGGCTGCCAAGTCTGAGCGGTGTTAACGGAGAGTGTCATGGTGACCACGTGCGTCTGCCTCCTATCAGGGGTATGCCAGGGCTCGTTTCGATTCTTCCGATTCGATTCGATTCGATTTCGATGGTTTCCGATTCCGATTCGATTCGACCTCAGATTCCGATTTGGGCTCCGATTTCTTATTGGAGGCACACTAGCCTGCCGATCTCCGCCGATTCGACTTCTCCCGACTCGGCTGCCGATTTCCGCCGATCCGACTCATTTCGATCGCCGACCCGACTTGTCGATTCGACTTTGGGGGCGCCTGGTATGCTATGCTCCGCAGTCGTCCCAGACACTGTCTACGCACACAGAGCCCCTGAATGTTACGAGCATGTGTCACGGCGGCGGGCAGCTGGACGTGTTGCACGGGAGTGTGAGAATACCGTCCGCAGTGTTCGCACAAGCTCATTGCGTTGCCACATCTTGTTCCTGTTGTTACAGGCGCCCTTCCGGCGCCGTCGCCGTGTGCGTCTTTCTCGCCTTTGGGAGGCGTTGCTATCCGCGCAGCGCCCCCTCCAACCAGCCCTGAATCCATCCTCTTTCCTCCTCCCTTGTACTTCTTGTGCATCCCTTTCATGCGTGCTCTGACACTCCCCTCCCGCTTGCTTCCTCCGCTCTCCTCGCTCCTTCCGGCACCCTCCATCAATCGAGTATCGTCGCCCTCTCCTGGCACGATTTGATCCCGCTATCGATCGCCTGTGCGGTTCGGTCCGCTCCCGCCTCCTGCTCCTCCTTGTTTTCCCACCTCCTTCCTCCCCCTCCTTACAGCGGCATTCCCCCGACTGCTACTCAGTGCGGGTACTCCCGTGATCAGCCGAGTCGAGCCGAGCTTCTTCCTCCTCTTCCTCTTGTTTCTCTTTAGTTGCTCGTTCGGGGGGCCTTCCTGGGGCCGACCTCATGGAACCTTCCGGTTCTAATTCGGCTCTAGCTCGACTCCGATTCGACTCTGGCCCCGCTCAGCCGCTCAGCTTCGATTCAGGGAGACGGAGGTTCAACACAGCAGCGACGCACGAGCGGAGCAGGCCGCTCCAGAGGAAGGCCCACTGCGAGCGACCGTGTTCGCCATGGGGGGAAGCGGCTCCTGAAGGAGGCGGGCTCTTCGGGAGGAGGAGGCGGAGGAGGAGGAGGAGGAGAAGGGGGTCAGTGCAGACGGGGGTCTGCCAGAGCGCCTGATCTTGCAGGATCCTGCAGGGCCAGGCGCGCACTGAGCCGGGCTTGGGTGCAGGATCCTGCAAGATCCTGCAGGATCTTGCAGGTTCCTGCAAGGATTGACCTGGGTCAGTACATCCCTGGGTCTCAGGGTTTTCCACCGTTGCTGGCTTCCCCCCGCCTCTCATGGGCCCTGGGACTTTCAGAACACAACTCAGGATGAGGGCTTGGTCCTGGAGGAAGGCCCGGGGGTCCAGGACCCGTTTCCCTCAGGAGCCGTTTTTCCCATGTTCTTTTGTCGCGTCGAGTTAGTCTGAATATTTGTGAAGACTTACGTAGCACCCCGCAGTTGCTGATATGAGTGAGGGGGTTGCGGGGACGTCGGCAGTCTGCTAGCTAGGTTCTGAAGAAGACCGCCGCAGGCGCCAAACTTACAAATTATACACCGAGCCCGCCGCAGGCGCCGACTTTTTCGTTAAAGCAATCTTGGTTGGTCGCGGGGTGGGTCGCAGGTGGGTCGCGGGTGGATCGCGGGTGGGTCGCGGGCCGGATCGCGACTGGTTGCGGATGGGTCGCGGAGTGGGTCGCGGGTGGGTCGCGGGGTGGGTCGCGGGTGGGTCGTGGGGTGGGTCGCGGGTGGGTCCGGGGTGGGTCGCAGGTGGATCGCGGGTGGATGTCGGGCCGGGTCGCGAGGGGGACGACGACAAGAAACAACAACCAACAATCAGCAAACAACAACCGACAAACAACAAACAACACACAGCAAACATCAGCAGCAACAACAGCTTTCATTCAAAGCATGATCGCTCATATCTGCTCGACTGCCATCCAACGTGTATCTCCCAAGCCCTCGATACCCGCCCTCTTCGTCTTCGATCGTGCCCTTTTTGGCTGCATATCTTTCTTCCCCGCAGGCTGGGCCCCGGCAAGCGGCGGGGCGGCCGCGGACCGTCGGCCTGGCCAGCTGCAGCACTGACCGGTGGCAACCCGACCCCAAGAGGGACGGATAGGGGACCGACCACGAAGACGACGACGACGACCGAAAGCGAGAGCTAGAGCGAAAGCGAGAGCGACAGCGGGGCCATGAAGGGCAGGAAAAGGGCCACGAAAGGCGACAGCGGGGCCACGAAGGTCATGCGTATGGGGCCACGCCGATGGACGCGAACGAGCTGGGGCCAGGAAGAGCATATAATGCAGGGCCACAGAGGGCAACGATGGGGCCACTGACGGTAGCAATGGGGCCACGTTGGACAGCGATGGGGGCCGCAAGGGGACTGCGGGGCCACGGAGGGCGCGCATATGGGGCCACGCCGATGGGCGCGAACGAGCGTGGGCCACAAGGGGCTTGGGCCGCTGACGGCACGGACGGGGCAGAGAAGGGCAGCATCGGGGCCACGAAGGGCAGCGAGGGGGCCACGATGGGCGAGAGCAGGGCCACGACGCGCATGCACATGGGGCCACGACGGGCGCGACCGAGCGGGGACCACGAAGGGCGTACATATATGGGGCCACGAAGGGCAGCGAGGGGGCCACGAAGGTCTACAACGGGGCCGCGTAGGGCAGCGAGGGGGCCACGAAGGGCTGCGACGGGGCCACGAAGGGCTGCGAGGGGGCCACGAAAGGCTGCAACGGGGCTGCGTAGGACAACGAGGGGCCCGCGAAGGTCTACAACGGGGCCACGAAAGGCAGCGAGGGGGCCACGAAGGTCTGCAACGGGGCCACGAATGGGCAGCGAGGGGGCCACGAAGGGCTTCAACGGGGCCACGAAGGGCAGCGAGGGGGCCACGAAGGTCTACAACGGGGCCGCGTGGGGCAGCGAGGGGGCCACGAAGGGCTGCGACGGGGCCACGAAGGGCTGCGAGGGGGCCACGAAAGGCTGCAACGGGGCCCCGAAGGGCTGCGAGGGGTCCACGAATCTTTACAACGGGGCCACGAAGGGCAGCGGGGGGGCCACGAAGGTCTGCAACGGGGCCACGAATGGGCAGCGAGGGGGCCACGAAGGGCTGCAACGGGGCCACGAAGGGCAGCGAGGGGGCCACAAAATATTGCAACGGGGCCACGAAGGGCAGCGAAGGGGCCACGAAAGGTTGCAGCAGGGCCGCGAGGGGCAGCGAGGGGGCCGCGAAGGGCTGCAACGGGGCCACGAAGCGCAGCGAGATCCCGAGTCCTAAATAAGCTGTGAGGGAGTCCTAAGCGTGAGCGCGACTCCTGGGTGCCTGAAAGTCGGGAGCGCGGGGCTTGAGTAAATTGCGGGGGGCTCCAACGCAAGAGCGCGATTCCTGATACAAATTGCAAGCGGGTCTCCCGCGTGAGCGCGACATCAGAGCGCCGAGAGAGCGATTCTGGAATTACTTGCACGGGCGTCCCAGGCGAGTGCGCGACTCCAGGGTGAAATGCGAGGAAGTCTCAGGTTGGAGCGAGGGTCCTGGCTGAATTGTGGGGGTGCCTCAGGCGGGAGCCGTTTTCGTTGTAATCCGGGGAGCAACGACCCACTTTGAACCCAGCGAGTTTTCATTATAAAATCATCGCTTCACTTGAAAACACAATGGCCACTGCAACGGGGATCAACAACAATTATTTTCCTGTAGTCAGAGTTCAACACCACCAACAATAGCATCAACAACAACAACAACGTTAACAACAACAAAATCAATCCGCATTGCAGAACTCCATTTCAGCCACGCGCCCAGGGACAGTGAATGACCGTTCGGCCCCCTCATTCAGATAACTAGAAGGCGTGCGAACACGGGGCTGGCGGAGGCTAAGCCCTAGCGAGCGCCACGGCGGCGAGCGACACCTCTGTACGCAGCCGTTTCGTGAGCCTGATGGCTTCCCACGCCACCGCGTTGGGGGGAGGGGGGGGAGCCTTTTCCCCCATGCCACCGTGTACCCGCGGGACCGCGACCTGCAATCCAGACCGCGAAGGCGTGGACCGGACGGGGCTAGGACGAGGATAATCAGGATTGGAAAAACACACATCGTCGATCCCCAGGGAAATAAGCGAAAATATTGGAAATGGGGGGACGAGAAGACCCAGAACTATTGGAAAATGTTGGGAATCCTGTTATTTGTGTGTCCCTGGGCCCCTTCAGCTATCTTCGTCCTTGCTGCCTCTTACCCTGGTGTTGCTCGCTTGTCCCCCCCTCTCCCTGATGGGTTTGCTTTTCCATCACCACCACCAGAGGTTGGAGGGGGAAGGAGGCGGAGGATGAGAATGAACAGGAGGAGGAAGAGGAGGAGGAGGAGGAGGAGGAGGAGAAGGAGGAGGAAGGAAAAGAGGAAGAGGAGGACCTCCCACTCCTCCTACGTGTGGCGGTGGCGGTGGAAAACCAGCCCACCATTCCCAGCTGGCCGGGCCGTCCGCCGTCATCAACGAGCTGGCCGAGAGGCTGCACGTGCTGACCGACTGCTCGAACTACCAGGAGCTGCCGAGGCCTGGGGGGCCCGCGGGGCACATCGTCGGCGTCGTCGTCGTCCGCGTCCTCATCCCATACACCTACTCAATAGGAGTACTCCTCCTCCTCCACCTCCTCCTCCTCCTCCTCCTCCAGCTGCCATCTGGGCCTAAGAGATGGTCTGGGCAGCCCAGACCGACACTATGTCATTCCACAGTTTGTGCAGACAGAAGGGGCGGCGGCCCACATGATGGCGGTGTGGACCGCTTCTCTAGCGGTGCTTCTCTTCAACCCAGGCTGGCGGAGATACGCGAGGAGGCGCCGAACTTCGACGCCATCATCCTGACGGGCACGTCGCGCAGACGCCACGAGCCCGCCATCACCCAGCACCGCATCAGCGACTCTCGCCACTACGACGCGGGCTGGCAGCTTAGCGACCTGACGAACCACAGCGCGGGTATCATCATCGCGCTGCAGGGTAGGCTCGACACGCGAAGGTCATTGACTTACAGGAACCGCCCGCCGAGCTCGGCGGCCGAGGGCTCGCCATCAAACTGCAGCACCACGATCAGATCATCCTGATCATCGGCTACTACAGCCCGCCGCAACCCACGAAAGGCAAAAACGCACGCAAGGTCTACTTCGCCACGATCAGCCGCCTCTTTGCTTGGATGGGCACGGTCAGCAAACACAAGCCGCGCAACGCGGTACTGATTACGGCAGGGGACTTGAACGACGGCATCGGCAGCACTCTTCGAGGAGAGAAACCCTTTTCGACAGCCATAAGCGACGGCAGAGCACCAGAACGGCGACCAGGAGGCGCACGGCAGAAAACCAGACAGTACGCGGAGCGCTACAACCTGTTCGCCACGAACACGCTGGACAGCTGGCGCCCGACCCACTTCGACACGACCCACGTGAGCCGCATTGACTAACTATATCACGCTACCGCAACATCTGACGGAGACGCTCCCTTCACAATTTCACAAGGACCACTTCAACGACTGGGATCGCGACTCCAGCACATCCCATGCCGAGCACGACGAGATCAGGTACCAGTCCGCGCCACTTGCCGACTCACATTACGACAGCGAGTACGGCAGCAACCTCAGCCCCCTCAGTGGAACAGGGACGGCCTCGTGCAGGCGGTTCGCAATGGCTACCACCGAGCGGAGTTCATCCAGGACATTGAGAGGGCCATGGACACGTACAACCCAGAGGGCTAAGGAGTGGACCAGCTTTTCAGCGACTTTAACGGGATTTTGATCACGGAGGCGCAGAAGCACTACGGACAGACGCCCAAGCCGACGACTGAGTACGAACCACTACGGGATGACCGCATGCTCCTACTACGCAAACGACGAGAGGCCAGAGCCGCATTCCTCGCAGAGCATGAAGGTGCCGCGCCAGAGGCTGCACGCCGAACCACAGATCCCGAGTCACCCCCACTGACCCGATAGGACCGTCAGGACGGGGCTGGGATCCAAGGGACCGAAACCCAGGGAGACAGAGAATCCCACGACAGCAACCCATACGCCGATCCAGTGCCAGCGCCCATCCCAGGGAGTGAGTCTAAGATGCACGACCTGGGGGCAGTACTTCGAAGTATTGCGACACAGTGCCAGCAGATGAGGAAGCTGGAGCACCCGAAGCGCACGGAAGCCAAGGCCGAGGAGATGTACGAGGCATGAGAACAGAGAGACTTGGCGCGAGTGGGAAAATTGTCAAGATTTGTATCAGGAGGACGCGATGGACCAAGAGAACGCGATTACTGGACGGTGACGACAGCGAACCCCAGCAAGCAGGAGTGGATCGAGTATTGGCAGCAACCAGGAGGAGCAGGAGGCATGGACGGCACCGAGCAGGACCGCGAGGCCATCGAAGAGGTACCGCACAACGCAGGGGAGCAAGACTACTACGAGGGCGACCTCCAGGAGAAGGTGGAGGAGCACTACTCGGATATCGCAAGCTCATTCAAACGAGCACGGCTACGACGAGCAGCACCACCCACAGCAGCACCATCGGAGATCTGGCGACTACTTCTTTGCGACCACGACCACGAACAATCGCCGCGACAGCGTCGAGGGCTCGGACACCGCCGCGGCCACCGCGAACCTGAACAATTTCAGGCGTTGGTCAAGGCCGCCCTGGCGGCCATCCGCATCCGCAATGTGACGCCAGCCCGCTGGCACCAGAGTTCGGCGACCGCAGTCGAGAAGAACGCCGAGAAGGGCCCAGCAGGCAGGATAATCTACCACATCATGGACCCATTCGGCAAGGTGCACTAACGCTGCAGGGATCCGACGCCAGAACGCCAGCACTTACATTGACCAGGACTTCGGCTTCATCAGTGGCAGGCGCCGCGAGGGAGCGATCCTGACCATGGCGGTAGTGGAGTACAGGTTTCGACAGTCAGGCCACGATTGCGCGTCCACGCACCTCCCACGATCCATGGATTTGGTGACCGCGCGCCACATCCATGGATCGCTAGTCCATGTTTGCGCGCCCCCGAGGAAAAAGGTACCCATACCTCGGTGTCATGTAACCGATCCCCGTCCCCATCCCCTTCGAACCCCCACCGAATTACCCCCCCAGTTGGGGATACATCCTTCGAAGCCCGAAGTGAGTGGCCTATATCCCCATCTAGGGGGGTAAATCGGCCAGTGGGGCCCAGGCCACGCCGCTGGGGATGCGGTTCGGTTAGCGATACTCAGTACCTCTTCCCTCCCCTCGTTTTCCCCTTTTGGGCCTCCTGGGCCTCCGTCGTCGCCACCGTTGGATTCGCTTCGAAATCCTGGTCAGGACGGACCCCAGGAGAGGTCCGGGGAGTAGCGGTATCGGCACCTTGTGGTCTCCCCAACGTTTGGCCGCTTTCGGCCGTTGGGGCGCCCTCACCGGTCCTCTCACGAGGAGCGTCAGGGGTTGGGGGCGGAAAAGAGGGGGGTGATGACTAGGGGGGGTGGATATCATGGCGTGGGCCATGATTTCCCCCAGATGTCATGGCGCCTCTTCTCATTTCATTACGTCCCTGGCCCCCCCCCCCCCTGGGCCGCGCACGTGCCGCCGGCCATGATTTGCGCCCCCCCCTGTTGGACACCCCCGTATGGCCGCTCCCGAAGGGCTTCAGGGGGGGTAGCATCGACTTGGAATATGCGGTGCATCGCCGATCGGTCGGCGATGGGCCCCGATGGACGTTCCTGAGCGGGGAGGGCAATCGAGCCCCTGTCTGCGATCGATGGGCGATCGGTGATCGATGCATCTCCCCATTCGGATGCAATCCCTGGGATTCCGAATTCTGACTTCTCCCTGGTCCGAACTCCGGCTTCATCCCGCTCGATCCCGCTTGCAGTGCCGTTTTTAACACATGCTCCGCGTGCGGGCCATGTATTAAAATGCAGAGGTTTAATATTAATAACAATGACGATTTCATGCATCAAGTAATCATGTATGAGAATCCAATATTAAACAACATCCCATGTATAAAAAATGCCCTGTAGTCCAGCCTGATCCCGCTTGCTCTGGCCCAATCCCGCCTCGTCCGCGGCCGATTAGCCGGCGTAGCAGCCCACTGGTGGTTCCCCCTCCCTGCCGATCCGGCGAAGACCTCCCGGCAGTGATCTCGTACCCCGCTTGAGCCTATGAGCCCCTTCCCCCCTGGTGTTGCCCCTCAACTTTGGGGCCGTCAGGCAAAACGTCTCGGGACAGAAAGCCTGTCTCTGGGAGGAGGCCCAGACTCAGGAGGGAAAGTATGAGGAATCCTGTTATTTTCGGGGACGGAAGCGAGGGGGGTTATGACTAGGGGTGGGTGAATATCATGGCGTGGGCCATGACAGTTCCCCTGATTTCACGGCGCCTCTTCTTATTTCATTACGTCCTTGGCCCCCCTGCTGGGCCGCGCACGGGCCGCCGGTCATGATTTGCACCCCACCCTCTTGGACACCCCCCTCTTGGCCGCTCCCGATATTATTTGTATGTATTTGTTGGTGTGTCCCAGGGCCCCGTCACAGACCTCGGCTGGGGCCATGCTGTCAACAGGACTGCCGGGAGGCTGCGTGCAGGCAGGTCGGCCGGCGGCTCCCCGCTCGCGCCTGCGTGCCCCCTCGTACCCTGCGCTCTCGTCGGCAGCCAGCCCCGTCGAGCCACCTGGGCTGGACCGGATAATTAGTAATAGCGTGGTCTCGTTGTCGCGGACCCTGGTTCATTTTCTCGTTTTCTCATGTTTTCGCCCCCGGGTCGTGGTCTCGTTGTCTCGGACCCTGGTTCGTTTTCTCGTTTTCCCGCGGGTCCATGCAGGAATCCAGAGACCCCCAATAGGTTCACTGTGAGAGATCATGCCATTGCTGGTATGGCTCAAGGCAAGCATCCGAAGAAAATATCTCGCCATGGTAGCGGAGCCGTGGTCCCGACCCTCCCAGTCTACGGGGTCGGGCTCCGCGGCTCCCGCTCCCGCCAGCGGCGCGGAGAGCCCCAGCAGCCTGGGGCCGGCCGCCGGTGCGGGAGCCGCAGCAGGGCCTGCCGGGCCCAGCTCCGGCGGCGGCGACGGGTGGGAGCTCGTCGAGGTCCACCAAGGGTGGAGGAGAGTGGCGAGGCAGCTACGCAAGCTGTTCAGGCTGAGGAGGACCTGGGCAGCGCTGGGCCAGCACCTGAAGGATTTCACGAAGCTGCGCGCGAACCGCCGCTGAGATGGCGGAGGAGCGCGTGCAGGCTCTAGAGCAGCAGATGATAGCGCTGGCCCAGGAGCTGCAGAACCGCCAGCAGAGGGAGAACGATCTCACGGCCGAGGTGCAGCGGCTCGCCCGTGTGGCCGAGGCTAGACCACGGGTGGACGGGCCTGTGCTACAGCTTCGAGCCGAGTCGCTCGTGGACACTCGCACGCTGGGCAAGCCAGACGTGTTCACGGGCGAGGAGCATAAGTGGAACGATTGGAAGGTGATTTTCAAGGCGTACGGTGGCGTCGTGAACGCCGACTTGCTGGCAGGGATGCGACTGGCAGAGAGCGCTGACGAGGCCTCAGTTCAGAACGATGACTTCCTCGAGG